ATAGTGATATTCTTTATTGCAATGCGAAATCAATTTCAGGTGCTCAGACTACTCTAGCTTGGTTTTGTGCACATACAGGGTGCTTCAATAAGTGTGTCCAGTATTCATTTATAAAAGAAGGAGAAGGTGCTCTTTTCTCACTGTCTTCAGAGTTGCTGTTTCTACACTGACAGGGAACGGTAACAATGGGAAACCTAAAATATGTACCTTTCCGATTAGTGGAGTTAGGCAGTTACGTCAAAAGAGAGAATCTAAGTCCTTCATGCGAAAAACCGTTTGGCGCTATAAGATTCCGAGATGTCGAGGTCCACGAACACTTTGGTGACGTACTTCCGTCACAAATATCATGTCTAGAAATGTGCGCCATTCGTTGTAGGCCCGAGCACTCAGATTTGGGTGTATGCTAAACAACCCCTTGTGGTCAAAATCTCCGGAGCCCTCCACTACGGCGTCTCTCAAAATCATATGGTGTTTCTGGGACGTTAAACCCCAAAGATCTATCAGAAATGTACGCCATGAAATGGCGAAGAAAAACGTCATGTCAACGGCAGTTTAACTCACGACTACTTATTCCACGACAATAGAGGTGAGAGGCACGCTATCCACTGCACCTCAGTCGCTCACGTTGAAGGCTTTACCGAGGCATCTTTTATACATAACAATGCCCTTTCACGGAGATCTTACGCTCTTAGTAGTGTTGATAGTTCATCGATACCAGGACCTCCGTGATAACCTGCTAGAACACCTAGTTGCTACGTGCCTGTCCCAATCAACGCGTTATCAAGGAAAAAGTGCAATTTTGTCGGCTTCCTAATTTTTTCGTCACCACGCCTATTCAAATTGATCACCGGTGATCGACAATATGGATGACCAATTTTGGCATGTTGAATGTGTTTCTTGTGCAACCCCGCAGTTTTTTAATTGTTAGTCTAGCCACTCAACTTTCAGAATCAATTTTAATTTGCCTGTTTGATCAAAAGACTGATTTTTGACTAATTTTTGCCCGAACCATTGTGCCTTTGTTATTGAGAAAATGCACTTGGCTGACGAACTTGACAGAAGTGCCTACCACTGTCCTCATGGTTATGTTACAGTAACATAAAGTTCTGTAATATCAATAACCTTTCAAGGTCAGATATCAAGTTCAGGAGTCAGTATCGCAATCTGGCAGCTTTGAGCAGTAATATCTGTCAGAAATGAATATCAGCTATTCTATAGAGAGCTTTTGCTAAGACCCGTAGAACATTTAGTCTACAAAAAGCATTTTCGAAGGTCTGCCGCATGTATAAAGTGCGGAGTGTATAAAGTGCGAAGGTCCACCGCAAGTGCGCAGCTGCTGACTTTTGTGCACAATCTTATAGCCAATCTGGTTACCTGCGAGGTCCAAATGTCACTGAAGCGTGGTGTGCTGGCTCCGGCTGCAGAGCTTCTCCTCGCGACAAGAAGGCCACGGAAGCACATCTTGGGCCTTACTACGCAACGGCACGAAAAGCTTTAGAACTGCTTGCGATAGTGTGCATTTAGAGTATGATGTGCAAAAATGCAAATAAATACGATTGGATGCATATAATGAAACACCGATCTATGCGGTGTAAGGTGGCTCATGAAAAGAGGTTACGCTAGACGAAATTGACTTTGACCTATGGAAAGATGTGAATTTGACCTATGGAAAGATTATTCCACTCATGGGCATCCATCTATATTGAAACACTTGCAGGCTCTTATCGCAAAGCAAATTAGTGGGAAAAAAATGAAAACGATTCCCCTCGTCCGCCCTTCTTAACTCAATCCCTGTATAAAACTCAATATGCTACTGTTCTACCACTTGTGTAAAATTTGCTCCGCAACAACGTTTTTTTTTTCTCGAAATATAAACACAAATATACCACCTTCTCAAAGAAATGCTTAACCAGACAAATGGTATACGACCAATGCACTGTTTCACTGACGGAATCAAGATAATGGACAAACTACCTCTTAATGGTAGGGTACCTCTAAATATGATAATAAATATTTGCAATGCTGGCTATTTATTTATTTATTCAAACTACCTTACAGACCCAACAGGGCATTGTGTAAGCGGAGCATAAAAGGAATAGATACACGAATTGGTACAATTTTCATACAAACAATAACAATAACAAAATGATATAATCACCACATATGTACTCTTGTGGTAAAAGAGTTACGTCGGGTTAACGTCAATTGTAGTTAGGTCAATCGGCTGAAGTTAATTTATGTAGCATTGTTCAGGGTTACCATCTTCGCAAACACCAGCGCTTCATATCTGCTCATCGCTTCTCATGTGACTAACATCAATGTGGGTTTTGACATCGTTATGCAACTGTGAGCAACTCGTTATAATAAAAATATGCGACTGTTTCACGTTTGTGTGTGCGTGCATTTTTAGATACCTTATCTTTAGCACTGATTCGTAACGTTTCGCTCGATAAAAAAATTACAACACAGTCACGTTCCATCCGCATGCTTCGCATAACATCGATTCACAAGGTACGTGAAATCTGCCGGGTTTTCTTAATAGAGGAGAAAAAAACTTCGCACGCCTTCAGACCTGCACTACTAATTTAAAATAAAACTTTCAAAAAACACCCACAGCAACCTGCAAAGAGCCCTCCATTTATTTTCACGTCATCGCAGCCCCAAGTTGTCAATGGTTCGTTATCCCGCTGCGTCATGAAACTTGAACTGTGCGACTAATTCATTAGCTACGTTTATGTGTTGACACACCGTTTTTCGCTACGTCGGAGGGCGATGCTGCGTGTTTTCTTGTTCAAAATGCTTATTTTGATTGCGCTAGAAGGCATTACGGCTTGGTGATGCAACACGGTCATCTTCACTAGTGCTTGCTCAATACAACATTCACCCACCCACGTGTCGGTCGCACCATTATGTCGAATGAAATCAGCCGTCTAGAAATCGGGAAGCTGTACCCACAAAGTGTCGATAATAATCGGTAATGTCTACTAGAGACAGCTATGTCACGTCGACATCGCACAGACAACTTCAGTCGTGGCTGTCCCTGGTCATATTTTTCGCTGAATATCGAGAGTTGCCGCTGTTACACCTCGGTATAGCAGTCTATCATATGATGATTTAGACGACATCTTTTAATCGTTACTGAGATGCTCGATCATGGTGTAATGTCGTGGGATCAAATAACATCGTCTATACAAATTGTAATTGTTGCGTCACCTGGTGCAAATTGAGTAGTGATCCAGCTCGCGCTCGACAATGAAGACTGCGTGTTTGACAGGTATAATTATAACAAACTGGTCATTAGCCAATAATGCATTGTCGGTTGGCGAACGCGTTCATGTGTTGTGTCATCGGCGATGGAAGCGTGTTCGGCCATCGCTTGCAATGTGTGCAGGTGCGACTGCCTTGAACAAATGTGTATATTCTACATCGAGCTTTCAGTGACAGCCACGAGAAAACCACAGTAACAACGACGCGCTTATCCTAAATCACAAGGCACGGACCTTCGATGACGTCACGAAGATTTGACCAGTAGCGGCGGCGGAGAGATTCGCGGCGCCATCAGAGGCATGTGCTAGGCGTTTTCGCCAAAATACCGTTGTTCGCGCAAGTTCAAAAAAATATTCGACGTGTTTTTGAGCTCTGCGCTCGAAATTTCAATACATCAAAACAAAACTTTTTTTTTCAAAAGTATCTCATTGTTCGCTCAACATACCACGAGTTTGCAAGAAGCGCGTGGAATCATTCGCACGTGACCGTTAGACCAGTACGCATCGTGATGTGTCAGATTTGAAAAGTTTGACGGTCCCAAGGAAGCAGTAATTTAGCAACGAAGAAGAAATCACTCAGCATGACGTGCAGTATCACGCACATCATCAGCTGTCACCCAAACTATATGGCTCGTCTTGTTTTATCCAGCTGCGTGTCTATTAAAAACGACCGCTGGGAAGCCCGTTAAGGAGCTTTGGTATATATTGTGCATATACCGCGTTTATTTCTTTTGAGTTTTATATCACGGGAAAAAATACAACTCATTTGAATTACCTAGTAGTAAATACAACTGAGAAGCAATACTGCAAAGGAAAGCATGGGGGATGTTATTGTGGTAGCTACTACTGTAGTAATTACTGCGATGTAAATATGAAGACAGCAAAGTATACAAAAAGACACCTTGCCGTCGGCAGAAACTACGGTATGGCAAGTTATCACCGAGTGGACGAAACGAGAACTTGCCATTCCGGCACCCTATTCAGCCACCCCTACCAGCGACTAGTCATTATTTCGCAACCTACTTTCCCTGAAAATTTACATTACAATTACTACTAATACCATCTTCTACAGCTTCCTTGGCATCATTCTCTCTTATTTCTGATTACTATTGCGTCCAACAAAGAAAACAAGCCCTTAAATTTGCACTTCTGTCCTTCATAACATGATTGTGTCGGGTGGCGTGTAGGACGTTGTGCTGCGCATCTAGCGTCGGCTGCATTCCCAGCCATGGTCTACATATTTAGATAACAACAAATGACAAAGCCACAGCTGTAGTTGAGATCAGATGCAATGCAAACACACCATTATTCTCGTAACTAATGTGCAGTTCCTTACTACGACGCCTCCAATAATCCCGTCCCAATTTGGATACGGAATATCCCGAAATTGATTCTTTACCAACTTACACCGTATCAGAAATAGTGACAAGCAGGGTTTGATACTTTATATGGCAGCACTTCACAGAAACATTAGTCCGGCATTTCCGTCATTATAGCGGATAATGAATCAATGCTTAGCAAGCTAATTTTTCAGCTCCTGCCGTCAATTTGCTTTTTTACCTTGTAAACGCAACAGCCACCAGCCACAGCGTGTAACGTTCAGGATAATTTATATGCAGTGAACAAAAACTTAAGATGCTGCCCTGCAGAGATATTGCTCTCTTGACATTCCTCTTTCACATGTGACAAAATACAAAGTTCTGAAGCATTATTTTTTATCATTTCTTTCGTCAGAGCTCAATAATGGCCCATGTTCTGGAAAGCAACCACTGCTCGACAAAGCCATGGTGAATTACTTGACGCTGGATTATATCACGAATATGACTATTCCTGGCTTCAACCTCACCAAACGAATTGGCTGGGTGAAATTTGGCGAGTTTTACGGTGGAAATATAAAAGGCTTGTATAAGATAAAAAGGGAGGGCAACAACTACGTTGAAGCAAATAATAATCAAACTATGCGAATGCGCATTGGTTTGACATTGGAAAGCCTCAACATTTCTATTGACTTCCGCCTGAAGAATGTAATATCGTTCATGGGGTACACGAAAGGGGAGGTTCAAGCATATGCTTCAGCATTAACATTCATCCTGGAAATAAAAGAGTAAGTCTTTCAGCTTTATCACTTCAGCGCTGATTGTTGACTTGTTGGCGTAAAAAAATGACTCTTTAAATAATGTAATTTGCATTACGCTGCCAGTGAAAAAATTAGTTTTATTGAAAATAGTGGCGCCGTAACACAAAATATCACACATTTTCGAAGATAGAACATCACACAGCCCCCAATATTTTCTCATGATTTTTTTTATTTTTGTGGCAGTTGCGGTACCATTTTGTTAACTATTCACAGCGCGAAAACCACATGGAATTCACTGCTTCTTCTTCTACATACATCCTTTAGGCGGGTGGCCTCAGATATGGCAGCCAATGTTAATCTGATGCCCCATCATATTGAGGTAACTTGCAACACAGGTTAATGAGACGTCACAGGAAGAGAATATGGTGGGAGCAATTTGCAACACACTTATATCTTGACGACGGGGATGACCGATAGGAAGCAGCACGCAATGTGCATTAAAATAGTTACAGCAGTATACCAAATATATTACATGAATAGGCTGCAGCACGAACTTTTCACTGCGCTTCGATATGAATTGCTTTCGTCATTATTATACACCTGACCACGTCATACAATGAATAAATTGTTTCAAAAATCAAAATTAATCACAAGATTGTGCAATTGGAACTTCCAACCGCGTCGTTTTGGGATGTCAAACGCAACATATAAATCAAATCAACTTCCAACCATGTGATCAATCGCAATTAAACTGGCAGTAAAAACTGCGCTGAAGTAGAAAAATAAGCTCTAAAAAATAACCTCAAAAAGATCGAGCGCAAGGCACCATGTTTTTTATGGACTTTAGAGCGGTCAATTAGAACGGTCATCGCGGGAGCTCCGCCGAGCTCCCGCGATGCGAGCGCCCTTACACGCCAGAGCGCACTTCTCCTCTTCATTCACTCTCTGCTACCTCGCCCGCAGCACCTGTTCCGGTTGGTCGTGGTATGGTTAGAAGAGAAAGAAGGTACCTAATTTCTACAGCCCAGTAAGAAGCATGGCGCCACGCCAACTAGTTGCTAGGGGCGAGGATAAGCGCGCGCGCCCGCAGCTGTTGCTATGGGAAAGGGTGTGAGAGCGGAGAGGAAACACCTGCCCGCGTGCGGATGCCGCTGGACGCCTGACATAGCCCAACGAAAAATGCATTCACATTAAAGAAAAATCGCAGCATGTCCACGGAGTGACTGATGACGAAAGGGGTGAAGCATCCGTCCGTCCGTGTGTCTGTCCGTCAGGCCATTCGTCTGTCTGCCTGTCTATAACACCTTCTTGCGCATGGACGCTACCGGACGCTTGACATAGCCCTTCTAAAACGTGCATTCGCGTGTAAGAGCACACTTCTGCAGTGTAGAGTGATACCGAGGCCTCACTTAGACAGCTATCATTTTTATTGTTGATGAAGAACGCTTCGAAAACCTCAAGAGCCCGCGCGTTTCGCTATTCGCCAGTACTAAAGTCTGTTTAGGTAATGCTTCCCATCCACAGTATGCGTAGTGAGCAGGCAAGCGAGCTCTTTTATTATTTTTGATCGACAGATGGCTCATTATTTTAGGGGTGAAGCTCCTAAAGCCGTGGGTTTGTCCCTCCTAGCTCGTACAAGACCACCTATATGGTTAGATGACTCACTCAGCATGTGCAGACAGACAGACAGACAGACAGACAGACAGACAGACAGACAGACAGACAGACAGACAGACAGACAGACAGACAGACAGACCGACAGACAGACAGACAGACAGACAGACGGATGATTCACGGTTTACCAATAAAGCCCTCCGAACCTTCGCCCCTCTCATCATTATCTACTCCGTGGATATGCTGTGATTTTTATCACTGCGCAGCCTATGAATGTAAAGCACAATTTCAACATGGTTCCTAAGTTTTTTTTTAATTTGCATCAGCAAGGTCCTTGCATGAGTTGCACCGTGAAGGACACGCAGGCAAAGAACGGACAAGCGCTAAGGTGTTTCGCCCTTAAAATAAAAGTGGCGCTGCTAGTTGTTGCGGGCTGTTGCACGGTTTTAGTCCCGTGAGTAGTAGTTCCGCGACGTTAGGTTATACAAGTCACGTAAGGAACTCGCCCCTATTAATATTTTCTACTTTAAGACGGACGACCTAGGAGGGTCAAACCTGATAGCGGCTTTTAACTTCTGATAGCGAATCAGAAGTTAAAAGGGTGAAGCAAGCGCGTGTCAGTTAATTATGATGATGATGAAAACTTCATTTCGGTACATAGAAGACGCAGCGAGACTCCGCGCTACCCGGCTAGTCCAACGTAGGGACCGACAAGCCGAACTTGGCTGTTCGTTCACTGGCACTCTGGACCACAAGGGTTTGACCAGCAATGAAAATTCCCGTTCACAGTATCCGGTGCGACCAAAACTAGAAAGAGTTTGCTTTTAAAAACAACATAATTGAATTTTGATTAGGATTATGTGCACGCAATGCCTTTCGCACACAGCGTGCGTTCTATGCAAGTTCAAAACATTACGAAGCATCAGGTAGTGGCACATCTCAGCTGTACATTCAGCCAAAACATTTGTCATTGTGCGCAGCGGCCAGTATTTTATCTCTCAGCGCCATATTATGGGACGAAGCTACAAAACGTTGTTTCATGGACATTTTCTTTGTGACCATACATTTGTCCTCGCCTTTTTTTTCTAAATTGATTCGGTCGTGTGGGCCAGTATCTCAAACATAATAACTTCTACTGATGCACGATAGCTAAAGATTTGACAACCCATACTTGCAGTAGTTGCTAGGGCCCTGAATATGATTGACTTGGGCCTTGCCACATTTCATGGCTAACGAACATGGGATATACCGAAGTGGGAAGACATGCGATTAACAGCCAAAGGTGGCAATGCCCTCAGCTAAAATTTTATGTGTGCAGAGTATTCCAAGTGATGCGTCCCAAACTTCTAAACGCACTACAAGAAACTTGATATTCGCTCGCTTGCTTAACAATTATTTATTCAATGTGGCAGACATCTTAAAACTACTAAGAACTTGGACTCGGGTGTAATGACATTAATGGACTTTATTGTTGAAACAATGAACCTTCATTACAACGAGATACAGAAAATGCGATATTTGCTTGTTTGCTTAGTAATTATTTCATCGGTTGTTGCAGACATGTTAAAAAGAATAAAACCATGAACTCGAGATTTATAGACAACAATTGATTTTATTCATTGATATAATGAACCTTTAATTAAGACGAAGGAGATATAGTGGTGCTATTTATAATTTGAAACCTTTTCAGCCGAGAGCTCGTTGCCGTATGAGGTTTAGAAAAATCGGCTGTTTCGAATTTTTACGTGGTGGTGAGAAAAGACTTGGAGAATGCTTAAGATTAGCGTTCCTGAATACAAAGTGTCAGCTTAATTGGGCGCCTTTAAATAGCCTTCTCATTCGCCAACGAGGCCTCGCTTGTCGGTGAACATCGAAACTATGTCATGTACCCGGTAAATTTTGGACCAACTGCGATCATGTTTAAAAAATGATGTAGGTATACTTGAATGTGTGAAGTAGTTAATCAGGCGTTACAAATCGCAAAAAAAGATATGTTGTCTAGAGGGCCCTTCAAGCTTTCGGCAGGCAAGTGAAACTGTGTCTCGCTAAGTAAGTCACATAATATTACTGCTTTGAGTATATTAGGAAACATTTCTTTCATTGATCTCAAGGCGCTATTTATACATGGCTATGATAGTTTCTTCCTTTCTGATTAATTTCTTTCGTTTTTGTGTTGGCTAAAATTTGCAGTGTGTTGCGTGTTTAGCGTTTTTTATGAAAAGCACTAATTTTGTCACCAGTAAAGCAGTTATAATTCCTGAAATATGTGTTCCTATAATAAATATTATTGTACTTAGGGTGCAAATAAAGCAAAACTTTTGCTCTAGCACTGTGGCAAAATTGGGAAAAACAGCTTCTGACTCACATTGCAGCCTAATTTTCGCAATGTAGCTGTCAGAGTAAAAATATGGCTTATATAGTCTTTATAGTATAGTTTTTCATTAAAATATGCAGAATGTTTGAAAAGAGTAGATTGGTTTTAAGGCAGAAAAAAATTCCTATTGAACAACTACTAAGTAATACGGAGCCTGCCTTTGCTTCACCTTCACTGCATAGCACGTCAGTGCGAGGTTTCAGCGGAGGCTTTTTGGCAGAGAATAATGACTGTCATACAACTGATTGTGTCCTGCTTTAGTAATATTGCGGTATATAACGCTAAAATTGGGTATTAGTACTTCCTTTATGGAACAATATCTTTCCCCCAACACCATCAAAGGGCAGGATATATGATGAACTGCTTCTTAGTTCCAAGCACTGAATTACAATTCAATCGGTGGCCGGCAATAAAGTATGTGGGCCTTTCGTTTTGCTTTTTAATTGTTGCATATGGCCTTAATAATATTTACCGAAATAAAAAAGTACATTTCATTTAAGCTATCTTGTGATGTGTCAGGTTAAGGCCGATGCCTGATCCCTTACAACTGGTGTGCGTCATGAAATGATGTACCCTAGAAACGTTGTATATTATTTCATATCGGGTTTATAAATGATACGTCCGTCCCCATTTCAGTAGAGATTTTAACATTTTCATCCCCCTGTTCTTTAGTTGTACAAAGCTGCAGAAAATGTTTTAACTGAAAGCCCGTGCGGAAATGGTGGCGCGCTTTCAACGTTATTAACATCCTAGGTGCATTCAAAAAGATGGATGAAAAGTTAAAATGGCAACTGTAAATGGCAAATAAGATGTCATCTATGGGCACGATATTGAATCATCTCCAACGTGTATAACTAGAATACATGATTTTATCATGCACACTAGTGGTAAGCCATCATGCAACAGCCTATACCTGATATATCATTAAAAACAGCTTAGATAAAGTTTGCTTTACCTATGTCATTAATTATTACTAAGGCCATGTGTATTAGTTATCAGAAGCCAAACAAAATGTCTCAACACTGTATTGCAGGCCATGGACTGCATTTTAATTCCACCACTTTTGGCTAATAAGCATGCAGTTCAATATAACCAGCCTATTATGGCCCAATGGGAAGATACTGTTCCGTAAACAGAGCACTAGTGCCCCACTTAGTAGTTATACACAGCAGTATTACTAAAACAGGTGACAACGAGTTGCATAACATGCGTTATTCGCTGCCAAAAAGCCCCCAATGGAACCTCGCGCTGACGCGCTATGCAGTTTAGGTAAGGCGAAGGCAGGCTTCTTACTACTTTGTGGTTGTTCACTTGGAAAACTTTTCTCCCTTACTATAAGAACTACACTCTAAAAAAAAAATAGCGAGATTGGAGAAATGGGCTCCGTTTCTCCTTCGGTGCGGCGACGTTCTCCCTTTTAGGCGCTTTACCCGTCGCGCCCTCTCGCGGCAAGGACCAAAAGGAGCAACGTTTCTCCTTCAGTGTTTAATTTTCTCCTCAATTATGGGGGTCTTGCCCGCGCGCATGCGCACGCCGAGCGTAGCCGGCCGCGTCCAGTCGCGAGCGATTATTTTACCTAAGATTGATGCAAGCAATGAAGGAGTGACTTTTTTTTGTTTTATTGGTGTAGAGTAAAACCCTCTCTTTTTTTATCACCAGGCACTCGCAAGATACTCCACACACTTCCGTGTGTGTCTCGTGTTGTTTCATACTACTAATTTGTCCAAATACAAGGGCCTCTACTTCCCTAAACAGTCGTGCTTTATTGATTACCTTAGCCTGTTCACAAATAATGGATTTTTTTTTTTGGTGTCGACATACTCGGTAAGCATACGCACTTGAAGTTTCGCACGGCACCAATAGCATTCAAGAATTCAACGACGTTCATAAAAGAACATCCACCTAATTTTTCAACATTCTAGCAAACATGATGCCACTGTACAGTCCATGCGTGAAAGCACGATCATATACAATTGATGGAGTTATACGTGCCGCTACCGCCATATGGGTGTTTTTTTTTTTTGCATTTTCCTCCATTCGAATACGGCTGCTGTGACCGGAAGTCGAACCTGCGTCCTCCAGCATAGTCACACGACACCCATTGAGGCTATGCTACCACGGCAGGTGAAAGCACAAAGAGAAACAGGCTGCGAAGTTTCACCGAGCGTTTATTTGCAAGATTGGGTGACAACCATCAGAAACGTTTTGAACATCATCATAACTACATTTTTGTGATAAGTAAACCAATGACTTTTGTCAGTTAAACTAAATTCTCCATAGTATGCGTTTTGAATTGCCCATGCCAGCACTGAGAGGTAGGACGGAATTATGCAAGCGTGCAGTATGCCTTTCTCGACCATAATTCTCTTTTGTCGTGAGAAACTCAACATCAGATGCACTTTCAGTAACAGCTGTGTACAGCAGGTAAGTACTAACACTCACTCACCATTGTTAAAAGAGTATTCCTAATCCGGAGTAATAGTAACCACCACAGCCACAGCGCTAAGAGCACAATTGTGGCACGCACAATGACTGAAAGTTGACACGCGAGGCGAATCGCGAGACGCATCTAAAGCAGAGAAGTATGCAGGCACAGCATACTATAACGTTATAGTAAATTTTTGCACTGCAGCGCTAGCTCCTCCACTCAAGTAATCGAGCTGCCGCGACGCTAACTGCCACTGCCATAGCTCACTAAAGAATACCGCCGGGTGCGAGGTCATCTCTTATTTCTCTCGCACGACCCGCGTCGTAGCGTACGTATACACTGCTAAGACGGTCGTCACCGCATCAAAAATATTGTCATTGAAGGGCTAGTGGTGTACTGTATCCATGGCTAACGGTCACAATTGTGTTAAGCACGTAAAAAGAGTGTAAGCAAACGCGAAACAACTAAATGAGGTCGACGCAACCACAGAACACCTATCACGATGGAGACAAAGTCTGGCCTGGATGCTGCGCTCTCTCCGAGCAACAAGTGGAAGAATAAAAAAAGACGTGACTTCCGAAATGGCAAGCACGTGGCAAGCGTTTGTTTTCTCGGAGGCTTCAAAAAAAACAAATGTGGCAGTGGTCGAGAGATGGTGAACAATTCGGAATGCCGTTGGCATTTTATGCATGGCTTGGGGGTATTCGCTTTCACGAAAACGTGATAAGCGCTAGTAATTATTCCGTTCATCATTGTGCAACCATTGATAAACTTTCGATTGTCTAAGAATCAGATACAACATATTTACGTGTGCGCATGTTGTGACATGGCCACAAATCATAAATAAGGTTGACCAAAGCTTACTTGTAAATTGTGTCAATATGGTCAGTCGAAATTCATTGCTATATAAGCTTGTGTGCTTTCGTAGTAGAGTGTGAGTAAACACGTCTGAGTGTGTGCTGCTGTGGAGAATTGTTGACTGTACTCTTGTTCATTACACTCACTCTAAATGCGTACTATGTGTCCTAGAATGCATGCGCACCTATGAGCATCGCATCAGTATATATTGAACGTCTGGTGTCAGTGAGTAGTCCATAAATCGGCTGAGTCACCAACAATCCGCTAGGAAGCTGTGCTGGTGGGTACGACCACCTCTCCACAGCTGTGAGGCCCTAATACCTCAGGCTATTTATATAACCTTGAACATCTAGTAAAACTGCACACTACTGAGTCGGAATGGTTTCGCTGCGATAGAGTCAATGGTTTGGAGGCACATCTCGTGGTCTGCGGCCCCGTAAAGGCGTGGATAACGTCACTACACTATGTGAATCTGTGACATATAGATACAGCAAGCCTAGCATATGCACTCTTCCGTGTCTTTCACAGTGAACGTCACCTCGGCGGCCCAACGAAACCTACTAGCTTCGTCGTTCTCTTTCGAGATGTTTTCAAGTTTGTCTGCTTGCTTTTGTAATCATTTCGTTGGATATCAAGCTCAGCAGGACTATTTTTTTTGTAACTGTCAGTGCCGTGTACTCTTTATCAGTCGAGAATAGATGCATTTGCTAAGCCTACTCACTTCGTTTACCTGGGGTCAGCCATCTTGATTTTCGTAGATAGGAACATGTTTCTCCGTGGCAAAAGGAGCAACGTTTTTTTATTTAAAGACGAACATTCGGGACAATGCCATTTCTCCCTAAATGAAGAGAACGTCCCTCCATTTTTTTAAGGGTGCATTCTTCCGAAACTTTCTGGTTATCTTACTGAGAAACTGTACTATGCAACACTATAAAGCCATAGCTTTACTTGGACTGCTACATTGCGAAAATGAGGACGCAATATGAGTCCAAATGCTGTTTTTTTCCAAAGTTGCAACAATACTATGGCAATATTTTTTTTTCAATTGCTCCCTAGTACTTAAGGGATTTAATACAGCAGCATATAAATCTGCAAGTATACTAATATTACTTGCGAAAAGATTTTGTGCTTCCTATAAAATAAACGCTAAACACGTAGCATGCTGAAATTTCGGGCCTAAACGTATAAGAAGGAACCTGCCACCATCGAATAACACGTTCGAACGCTTTATTCGAAGGTTGCAGGATTGGTTGCTGCCCACGCCAAGTTATCTTCTCACCCACTTTTCTCTACTTTCCTTGGTATTATTGTCTGTTAGACCTCAATAGTAATAATTGTGTCGAACTTTAGTACACCTATATATATGTATATATATATATATATATATATATATATATATATATATATATATATATATATATATATATATATATATATATGTATATATATATATATATATATATATATATATATAGTAATACAAAGAAGATTTTCAATATTGTAATCGTACTTCTTGCATTCATGAAAAAATGTCTAATTTGTCCTTCACTAATGTATATCACACAGGATATCCGGGCAACCTAGAGTGACCGGCTGTACATTGAAAATTCGTGACTTGCACGCCCGATTTATTTTGAAAGGCAAATTCTCAAAACTCATAAACTCAATGGGGTCACTGCAAAAATATATCACCAAGAAATTAAAAGAAAAAATTCAAGCTCACTCCTGCTATCTTGTGAATAAGCAAGTCACGGCACTTGGACAACGCATGGATAAAGAGTGTGAGTATTGATTTAGGTGTGCCGCGAAACGTACCAATAATGTGGAATCAATTTTAAACAAACAATTAGGACACATCGCACGCACTGCGAAAGAATATGCATTTTTGTCGCTCTGTTGGGTCACTGCATGCTCGCACTTTCTACTTAAATGGGAAAGGCTGGAAATGTGCAAACTGTGTTGCGAAAAACCATTGACTGGGTATTGATCGTTCAGCCAAAAACTGGCAAAACTTCAGGACGTTCGAAATATTGTAATAGATCTCCAAGTTTTAGGCGTAAAACCAGGTACGATTATGCCGCACGCGATGGTGAGAGACTCATGATTATTTTTCACTATTTGATGTAATTTAGTGTTAAACTAAATCCAAGTGAATTGATTGGTTTTCATTCGGCCCACAATGAAACGGAGCTACCACGGCTAGGAGTTGAACCCCTGTCTTTCAGCTCAGCAATGCGACACCCTGAACAACTTGAAGCACTGAAGGAAAGAAACTCAGGAAACAAGGAGTTGAAGCTTGTCATTGAGAGCTGTTTGCGTAAAAAAAAAGATAAAATATGTGTGGCCGTTCTGTACAAAAATAACTATAAAACGCTAATTCATCCATGTTCATGTAACGCGGCTGTAATGACAATAGACATCTTCCGCAGTACTGTGATCGTTAAGTGACTTGGGCTCTCCTAAATTAGATCATATTCACGCAACTTATCAATATCAACAAAATAGAACGCCAGTACAGTTGTTTGCCACAAATAGAACGACTCCTGGCCAGAACCTACCTAAGCCGTGCCAGCAACCTTCACTTGACTCGCTTGGTTGTATCTTTACCTCGACGTTACGGACACCGCATTGGCCGAACCTTTATGAGCGCTGCCTGCTGCATGAAACTGTGAATAGTATTACCTGCGGCTTTACATTCCAAAACCACTATATGATGAGAGACGCCATATGGGCTCCGGAAATTCCAGCCATCTGGTGCACTTTAACGGGCATTCACATCGCACATTACAGAGGCCTACACCATTTCGATTGACCTATGCGGCTGGGATCAAACCCGCGAACTGCGGGTCAGCAACAGAGTAACCACTAAATCACCACGGTGGATTGAATGACGCATCGCAACAAGTATTGTGGGACTGCCTTTTATATGTGCCACAACGGAAGACGCTAGCTCCTACGTTAGAAGCTGTAAGAGTGCAAACACTAGTTGAAATTGGTGTGCTGTCTGCAATGTACAACCGGATCATATCAACAACTTCAACAAAGACAGTTAAAAAGCTTCACAAAAGCACTCGCTGAATGCCAGACTAGAGAAACAAGTGTATTACGTGGTTATACTCTATCTGCATCACTGCAGTAGCAGTGGTTGGAGCCGAAGGAAGACGCTTGCCTCTACAACTCCCCCGCCGCGGTAGTTCAGTGGCTAAGCTACTCGGCTCCTGACCAGCATGCAGGTCGCGGGAAGGAGTCGCGGCTGCGGCGGCTGCATTTTCGATTGAGTCTAAAATGCTGCAGGCCCGTGTGCTCAGATTTGCGCACACGTTAAAGAACCCCACGTAGTCGAAATTTCCGGAGTCCTTTACTACGGCATCTCTCATAATCATATGGTGGTTTTGGGACGTTGAACCACACATATCATCATCTCTAACACTCGGAGAGAGAACGGCGCAGACTCGCAGGTGAAAAGAGGGCGAAAGACGAGAGCGAAAAGAAGCGGCTACTTTCTCGAAATTAGAGTATCCACAACACTTCGAGCCTGGGGGGGGGGGGGATACCTCTGCCTCCACTAAATAGTTGGATGTCTGTCTGCAATGTTAGCCGAATCCAACACATCTAGCACTGGTTGCACACATACTAATCACTTCAGCATCGCTTCGGTTGTATCAGTTGTTCCTACCAACTTCACCAGGCCTAATTATTATTTGGACACACTTACCACTGTGGCAAAGAAGAAACACTTGAACATATCTTTTTAGACTACCGTCCGTACACTGCGCAGAGGCTATGGCTTTCAAACGCTCTCAACAAGTTGAGCCACTGACTTTTGACGAAGAAAACTTAATTTATGACATCGATTGGACGCAGCACCGCAGAAGAATATGGCCTTGTGAACGTCATTGTGTTTTCGCGATCGACCAGCAGCCTTGCTGAAGAACTGTAGCTAGAAAACCCTTCCCGCCTGTGCAGTATTTTCCACACTTAAGGCGCGTTCACTCTGAGCATTCCAAATGCCAGAAGTAAGCCAAATCCGATTCGACGGCACTGGAATCCGCCGAAAGGTAACCGAAAGGGCTCTCTCCGCGCCGATCTCTCGCGGACTGATTTTCGCGCTGTCTGCCGCCAAATTGGTCGCCGTGGACAAATAGGAGCGCTAGTCAAAGAATTTTTAAAAATAGCGGCAAGCCCTCCTCGTCATGTCACACTGCATGTAACTGAATATTGTAAACAACGGGAGTTTAACCCACTCTGTGCCGACTCCACCTCCCTATTTCGTGAACGAGGTGACCGGGCTGGTCGTTGGCGCGACCGAGCGTGCCGCAGCATTGGAGAGCAAGACGAACACACCAACGTACGCCGCTGGCATCGTCAATTTTTTCTCCTCTTCATGCATTACAAGACAGAGACTTGCCAGCAAAGCACGCAGTACTGCTTCTTCTTGCTTCCTGCGTACCATAATCATCCAAGTCTTGATCACCGGATAGCGTATAGTGGCGTTTGCCAGCCGCGACAACAACCAAGTGACAGCGCATCCATCCCGCGTTCCCCCCATAACAGATGGCTATTCGGCTGCGCGGGGCGCCTCCAGTGCGATAGACGCGGCGTTTCGGAAGCCAGAGTGTTTCGCTCGCTGTGTAAAGAGAATGCTTCAGTGTGAACTAGGCGCTTGGAAAAATCTCAAAGTGGACTACATCGCGGTGCGGCGAGCGCTGCAGTCGCGCACCAACAGTACAGGCGCTTGAAAAAAATGGCAGCATATCCACGGACAGAATAATGGAGAGTGGGGCGAAGCATCCGTCTATCCATTCGTTTTTGCTTCCGTCCGTCCATGCGTGCGTCTGTGTGGCCACCCGTGAGTCCATCCACCCGTCCGTGCGTGCGTCTGTTCGTGCGTCCGCACGTCCATCTGTGCGTCCGTCCCTGCGTTCGTCCATGAAACCACTCCTGCATTCGTCCATGCGTCCATCCGTCTGTGCAACCATCCATGCGTCCGTCCATGCATTTGTCTGTGTGTCCATTTGTCCATCTAATCAACACTCGAAGTACCACCATCTCGCATCTTTTCATCACATATTCCGCATATAGAAGCACCGCCACTCAGCTGACATTCCAAGGACTAAACGAGAGGTGGCACACGCACTCTTTCTTACGACTTTTGCTTCGCGTTCCTCGTCATGTTTCAGCAGCAGTGTTGACTGCGCCCATTTTGTACGATAACGAGGCGTACAGTGACGCGATGAGCGGTACGAGCCCAGTTCCTGCCGTAACAATGAAATTTTCCCGCTGCCCGACAATGCGGTCAGCACGAGCCGTCGTAGCAGCCGACGAAGGTTTAACCGTTCAGCGCTAGTCCCCTCAGGCGCCTGAGCAAGCGCGAGCTGCTGCCGGTGTCCGACGGCCGCGCTGGCGGCATCATGGGCGCGTCGCAATGCCACGCGCTCCCAGATTTCCCCCAAATGTGACAAAGACTTCACGTGTGTTTTTGTTGCCCTTCTTGTTTCCCCCTGCAGCCTCTTTCTTGCTCCTATTTCCCCCCTCCAGCTACTGGTAGTAAACCTGATGCCAATGATGATGATCATGATGATGATGATGATGATGGATGGTCTAAACGCATGGCTCACGCGCACTCTGTAGGACTGGCCGAGAAACAAATATTTAAATAGTGGAATACATATTACTCTTAAATTTAATGAATTTTAAATTGGTTAGAAGAAATCAAGTTTTACTAATTGACAGATTTGCAATCAAAACCACCTTTATTCGAATAATAATCTTTGTACAGCCTTCTTTTTCAACTTCTAACGCTATCGCGTTAGAGAGCTCGTGTGGCGGAAATTCCACCGTCAGCGTCGGCCTTGTTGATTGTGAACGAAAAATTGTCCATAAGCAAAAAATTTAGAAAGAAGCAAATAAAATAAAGAATAAAACTTTCAGTCCAACTGAGGATCCGTCCCGGGTTGTTCACATGGCAAGCAGGTGGCCTACCTTAAAGCTACGATGTTACTTGCAGCAGCTTCGGCAAGAAACACTGCGTAAGTGCCCTGAAGTGGATGAAGTCGCCTAACACATTTTCTTCGATGGGTGCCATGACGAAAATCAGCCCATTCGGCAATATGTAGGCGCATCTGGAAGGCCAATAAGCTCCGTCGAAAAAGGTCCGGATAGTGCAGCCATCGCTGCTAAAAACACACAGGAACTTTGAAACAGCTCTAAAATTGGACAACTATGTTCATCCAGCGGAAAACATATCATGTCTTTTCAGAGGCGTTGATCAAGCAAACAGCAAGCGCTAGATAATGTGCTGCCATCTGTGAGGCCCTGTGGGACTGTTTGAAGCCCCGTAAACGGCGAGCGCGCGCTGTATATCTCGGAGGTCATGCGACTCTCGCTTGAGGCGAAAAACCTGTATGTACCATACGCACGCGCGCGCGCGCGCGTGCGTGTGTGTGTGTGTGTGTGTGTGTGTGTATGTGTGTGTGTGTGTGTGTGTCATTTGTGAGACATTGCGAAAAACGTGTCTCAACCACATCATCATCATCATCATACTGAGCTCTTCCACTGCAGGACAAAGGCCTCGCCCATGTTCCGCCAGTTAACCCGGTCCTGTGCTTGCTGCTGCCAATTTACACCCGCAAACTTCTTAATCTCATCTGCCCACCTAATCTTCTGTCTCCCTCTAACCCTCTTGCTTTCTCTGGGAATACAGTTAGTTACCCTTACCAGCGGTTATTTTGTCTACGCGCTAAGCGCCCGGCCCATGTCCGTTTCCTATTCTTGATTTCAA